TATATATATATATATATATATATATATATATATTTTAATATAATATATTATAATTAAAATAATTAATAGATGTAATTATATTATTTAATATAATATATATTATAATAAAAGTATGTCATAATTTTAATGATTTATTATTAAAAATTGTTACAGTCCCAAGCCCCCAGATAAAAGAGAGGGTAGAAACCTACCCTCGATAAAAAAAAAAATAATATCTCCTAGAACTAACTATTTAGTTAAGGATAACAGGACAAAGTCCTAAGAAGAAGAGGATAGAAAAATTGTTACGTTAACGTGTTAATATTTATTATTCTTATCTTTTATTTATCATTTGGATAAAAAAAAAAAAAAAATTATTATCGTAAGAGACGCGCGATTTGGAATTTATTGTCGTCCAACGCAAGAAATGTATTTAGAAAAATGTATAAACCAGTTTGGATGTTCAATACATGACTCATATAAAATGCGAAGAAATGTAAGTTCTTGCCCGAGTTTCCAACACCTTAACTCTCGAGAATTTTTTCACTCTCTGACGATATAGTCAAAGTTTATTTGTACTGTCTTATGAACTTATCCAGATACCGAGAAAGACAGCACACGTATAACTTACGGATACTCGGAATCCTGTTAACCGAGTAGACGAGAAATCTTTTAAAGGTCGATTCACACATTTCAATTTTTAGTCACTGTTTTGTCATTTCAATCACAGTTCAATTTCATTTACGTTAACAACAAATATTAACAACTCTATTTATAAAGTTTTACACACAGCTGCACATTTTACCATGATATTTTTCAATAAAAATAATAATTACTTGAATAATAGAGAAAACAAATTTCACTTGCAACATTAATTTTTTTTTTTTTTTAATCAAATCATCGACAGTACATGAATCGTACTTTAAATCATTTTTTTCAATCCAATGGCAAATCATTAAAAATGTATTATTAATGTTGTTTCAGGTGGATAACACACTAAATGCCTCGTTCGTAGCATCGATCATTTATAGAAGGTGACGAGGAGGAGGAGGAGGAGACCGGAACGAAACGGAATCGAACGGAATTTTGAAGAAATGGCACTGAGAAATTTCTTCATTCTAGGAATTCTTGGGATCTTGGAAATCGTCTACGTTCGTGGACGGTTGATTCAATTAGGTGAAAAGAAAGATAGAGACATATACATACATACATTCCTATGCACGCTTATATATATATATATATATAAACATAAATACATAAATAAATGTATAAGCACGTAGATGCATAGATGCATAAATACATTCGCGTCATCTTTTTACACTCGGTCTTTCGAAAATCGCGTTAGGTGCCATCGCTCTTTCGCATCGTTCAAGTTCCTCGACCAACACATACATATATAGTTAGATACATACATATGTGAACATTGTAGCCCAAGTTTCTAAGTTTAGCACTACGACAACGCTTAGTTTAGAACGTTCTTCTTCTTCCTCATCGTGTCCGAGAACGCATAAGCCACCGATTTCTTCTTCTCTTATTTTCCAACACAAATTTCCCCACCCACCCCCCAAAGCTCGTTAATTTATAACAACAGAAAGCCAGCCTACCGTTGTATTTTTGTCAAGAAGAAAAAGGGGGATTTTAAAGTGATTTTTTTTCTTTATTTTTTCTTTTTTTTTTTCAAAGATTACGAGATAAAAATGTCAGATAACTTATCATAAAAATGATAGAAAATATCTTGTATAACTTACAAGTGATTATTACCTTATGACTATAAGGAAAGAAATATCAAATGAAATTTTGTAATAAATCTATATAGGACAATTGACTGTTAAAATTGGAATACATTGATAGGTGATGAGAAGAAATGATGAAAAATGATAAAAATTGCAATGAACAAGTTTTTATATCTTAAAAATGTATATTTAGAATCTATGAGAGATCGTTCGAAAAAAAATAAATAATTTCAGGAAACATTGCAAAATCATCGAGCAAAATAATTAACAAGTATACTTAATATAGGTGTAAAATTGAAACTGGAAAGATAAAAAAAAAAAAAAAAAACGTGAGTACAAATACGAGAAGAAAAATAAAATAATACTTAACGAGTAATAAAAGAGGTTTAAACAGTAAGGATTGTAATGATTTAACGGAGAATTATCTTTACGTTTGAAAATACATAATAGATATAACTAATCTTGAAAGGATTAAGAACGCGTATTCGTTTGCAAAAGATTCCTATGCGTTCATACCGAGTATATAACTATCTACATGTATATGATATATATATATATATATATATATATATATGTATGTATAGTTCTAGCGAGTAGATTGGCCATTTTCCAAGCACGTCGTTCTTCGATCATCGAGAGAACCTAACGCATAACGATATAATTAGCGATAATGGCATGCATTCGTCTAATGATGCACTTTGCCGGTAGTCTAAGAAGATTTCTCATAGGATTAGACGTTTTCTATCAATTCCTTTTAGCAAGAGATCCGAATCATTAGATTACGCTTCTCATCCTACGTAAATTCGTAGAATAATCCCCACGATAAAAAAAAGAAAATACGAATAGGATGAAAAAAAAAAAAATGATTATGAGAGAATTATTAAATCGAGGGAAACAAAATAAATGAATAAATTTGAAAAAAAAAAAAAAGAAAAAAGACAAGAACAAACCAAAAGAGTAGATAATATTTTAAACGATGGAGAGAGACAAATAAAAAATAGAAAAAAAAAAATTGTCCAAGCACACCAGCGCATAGTACATTTCACGTCTCAGCAATTAATCGCTCTCAGCGCGCGGATAATTATACCTCTCGTGAGTATAATTATTGCCTGGACTTGCCGGAACGTTTGCGTCGCCTCGGTTCACAGCGACAATAATTTATAATCATGGAGGGAGTCAAACACAGAGAGAGAGAGAGAGAGAGAGAGAGAGAGAGAGACCAAGCAAAACCGAGCTTACAGACTGTTCGTAAATCGCGCCAGATTTTGAAACGATATGATACTGCTAACCTATTTGCATTGCATAAATGAATATACTTTGTACTCTTGGTATCTCAACACAAAAACGATCATTATTTATTAATATTAATACTTTTATTTTATTTCAAATTTATTTCTCTTTAAGATTGCATAAGTATAAATTGCAAGCGCGCGAATTTTTGTCTACTTTGAAGTCAAGAAATATCTTTGACCAATTGTAAATTCACAAATCACTTCCTGTCAGACCTTTTTCTTAATATTTTAATACTATAAAATAGTATAAATACTTATATAATAATAATAATAGTATAAATACTTATTATATAGTTTAATTACTTTAATTTAATTGTAATTACTTTAACCCTTTAGGAGTTGCACGCTCGAGTTAACTCGAGCGACGTTGTATTACGTTGAGCCAAAAAATTGTTCCTCTCTTTCTCTCTCTCTCTCTCTCTCTTAAGGAGTTAATATTTACTTAAATTAATAATTAAAGTAAAATTATATTAAGTATAATAAAGTTTCAAAGAGATCGGCGAAATCTATAAGGTTTCACACAAGATTCTTTTGGAGCACCCTGTATACACCAACTTGCATTTACCGTTTGATGTTTTGCCTTCGAACGGGCCACTGATGTTTTTGTTGTATTTTTCTTTCTGTCATGTCTTGTCACGCGAGTTTAACACGACGAAGAATGATAGGTAAAGAAAGAGTAAAAAACGTAAAAGATAAAAAGATAAGAAAAAGGAAGAATCAGTGCCAAAGTAAAAATTCATTGTCTCTGACAATCGTAAGAAAGCGTAGATGACGAGAGTAGTAAGAAGAACATCTGGCCTACAGATTTGTGTCTGCTTTACTCCGAGACTCAGTTAGACCCTTCTTCTTCTTCTTTTTCTTCTTCTTTCCTTTTTCTAATTCCCTTCCTTCGTCCTCGAACTGTCCACCCATACGAAAGTCATAAAAGTTCGATTTCAAATGTTTAACAACCATAGGACCAACAATTTTCAATAATATTTTGCACTTCTTTTCATCGTATTTTTTACTGAATTATATGGATTTCAGTAGACACTTTTATATCTTATCTTTATTTATTATTATATTTACTTTCTATAATTAACACTATGACGTTCGGTGGCTCCACATTGGTGCCATGCGAAAACTTTTGGATAAGTACTGATGGCTTCACGTTGGTGCCATTCGGAAATTATCGCGCAACAGCGATATACATATATACATATATATATATATATATATATATATATATATATTATTTATTATTATTACACGAAAAAAATCTAGATTAGACGTGTGGACGGTATAGTGTTAATAAATAATTTGTATAAATTTATTTCGCGTTCAGTGATCACTTAGTTTTAAACCAAATAATCCAGTATGATATTCGCGAAGGATATTTTCGCTAAATATACTTACCGTCGAGCAGCCGAAATATACTAACTCCGACACGATGCGCGTATAAGTATTATTATGATTGAGCTCAATTGTCCAATTGCCCGGTCATTGAATGCCGCGCGTAGTACATACAACCGGGACTACTACGCTCGCCCGTTATTGGCAAACCGTCGATGTCAAAAAGCTTTCTTTACACTAAATGTTTATACTTGCGATATCTACATCCCCTATCCCATCAAAATAATCAACATCATTGAAAATTCTAACCCTTCCTAGCCCAAACTACAAACAGGTGTGTGCAGTTTGTTTTGTACAAGAAAAAGCCCGCAAATTGTTTAATGAAAATGTTACAAGATAGGAATAGAAATTCAGGAATATTTTGAGGGATGGGAGGGAGAAATGTTAAAGAAACTGGGAATAATAATTGAAGAAAAAGATATGGAAGCAATTTGATCGAGGAAAGCAACGGAATGACAGCCACTGCCAATTCTTTGTCTATTAAATGTATTCAACGGCGTAATAGCGGTTGATATTACCAATTGGACAATGAAAGAGACGGCACATAACGAACCGCGCGATTTGACCGAGGAGGGATCGAACCGTACGAAAGAGATTTCGACGAGACTCTCCGATCTCTTCTTACATTTGTTCAATAAGAAAAGAAAATAAAACAAACTAGATACAACAATAACCCCAAATTAACATTATGCCGTCCGCACGTCTATTCTACATTATATACATATAATAATATCATTTAATTATATTATATATAAAATATAATAATATATATAATAACATTATAATATTTTAATTGTTATATAATTACAATATTCCACACCACCAACGTGTAGCCATCGGCATTTATCCGATAGTTTTTGCATGACATCAACGTGGAACCACCGGACGTCATAGAGTGTTAATTATATATTATACTAAGCATTAAAGTTATACGATCAAGTTATTGAAGAGAAAAATATTTTAAATATCATATTAAACAATCCAATTATATTATTAGATGAAAAATTATGATGTTGCTTATTGACCAACCCAATATTAACTCAACGGTTCTATTAACTCTTTCTTCCCTTCTCTCTCTCTCTGTTTCTCTCAATTACTATTTTTTAAACGACGCGTTGATAAAGACTCCGAACATTCCAAGATGAGAATAGAAATAAGAGAAATATAAGTAGAAATAAGGCGAAATTAGTTAGCTTTCTGAGAAATGCGAAATTATCGAAAAGTATACATCTTATAAATAACGGATCTCGCTCTCTGTTCCTTTCACTCGCTTTCTTGATTTATGTCTCATTAATCGTGTTACCGCACAATTTCTCAGATCTATTATATCTCCGGCTTCTCGAATGAGACAAACTTGACCAATCTACAAAAGCAAATAAAATATCATCATAGTTTATAATCGTCCCTTCTGTTATATTGCGGTTTAGTTATTATGTTACTGCTATCAAATTATTGATATTAATTGTTGTTCCTATTTTGCGCTCATTTTGATATTATTTATTGCAATTCGGTTGATTATTGTCTTATTGTATCTGTCCCTAGTAGCACAAAATATTGTAAAATATTAAATACATGTGTATTTAATATTAAAAAGACATTGAATCTCTTTTTGTGTATTGAACATGTATTCAATATTTTTCGACATTTTGTGCTACTAAGGGTCGTTGTTGTTGTTGTTGTTGTTGTTTTTGGTGAAGAATTTGGAGTTTGTTTTATATGCAAAAGCGGGGGCGTTCTTGACTAAGGAAAGAAAAAAAAAAAAAAGAAAAAAAGAGAAAGAAAGAAAGAAAGAAAAAAAAAAGAAAGAGAGCAAGAGCATGAAACTCTCGAAACGTTTATCGCTATTCCGGGCGCACTTGGCTCACTCGACGCAGATGGCCGAACGACGTCATTCTCGTGAATCGAGTCTATTCGCCGAGATAGATCGTACGTCTTCTTGCCCCCCATCGATACGAGAGAACAAGAAATTCTTCCTCCTCGACATTAGTTTTATCCCGCCCCCTGTAACAAACCAACCATATACGTAGAGTAATACTATATAGCCAGTTACGACCCGGCTAAAAAAAGAAGAAGAAGAAAAAAAAACAAATAAAAAAGGACTAAAAAACATTGCGGTTGCAGACATTATCTATCTCATTCTTTCCGTCTGTCTATCAAATACTTCCTTATAAGCATAAACGAAAATTAGATTTGATTTATGAGAAATTAGAGGATACTTTAAAATGCTTGCTAAAATTGTCTATATTTACTATACCATTACTAATAATAATTCAAATTTAATGACCTGCGTAGTAGATCATGCTCTCACGACCTAAAACGAGAAACATTTATTATTTATGAAAGACTGGTCAATATGATATCACTATATCATTTTGCAAGCAAAACATGAGGATCGAATTATTTCTAATTTAAGTTGTTATTATTATTAGTCCGAAAAGAGACTACGAAAAATACAAAACCTCTAATGCAAATCATGAATGAAGGAATGACTGGACGATCTTCGTTCCGGTCCGGTTCAGTTTGAAATGTCACGTGCGACACACGTGCGTCGCACGTTCCGAACGAAAAGGACAAAAAAAAGAAGTAATGAATGAAAAAGGAAAATGAACGAAAGGAAGGAAGGAAGGAAGGAAGGAAGGAAGGAAGGAAGGAAGGAAGTAGTGCAAGAAGAGATCTCGTTACGAGTAACAATAAACTCGATCGATTTCCAAGAAGAGAGTGTATCATCAAACATCCGCGAGTACTCTGTACGGAAATATGCGTATAGAAGGATGTTTGAAGAAAGACCAAAATGTTGTAGCTAAATCAATATAAATTGAACAAGAAAAATAAGAGAAAGAAGGAACCATTTTTCATCTTATAATTAATATTGTTTTACCAAACGACATTGTAGACTATTTTTGGTATTGCAATTTTCTAATATAAAATATTATGCATATTTGCAATGGTTATATAATTCCAATTTAACAGGACAATATATATATATATATATTTATAGTTATATATGTTAAACTTTAGACGCAGAAACAAAAGTCATATTCTAAATTTAAAAATAAATTATATAAAGTAAGGTAAAACAGCAATATTGAATTGATTGTAAAATCGAACGAAATGTGTTCTCCCTCTCTTTCTATTTCTCGATTCATTCTATGACGATTGGTCGTGGCAAAGAAGGACGACATTGCCCTCGACAAATTTCTAAATTTAGTCAGACGCACGTACACACATAAATAAAAACGTACATACGTTCGTAACTTTCTTGAAGGAGAGGGTTGAGAGGGGTTGAAGGAAGAAATGGAAGAAGCAACGCGCACGTCGTCTTCGTCGTCTTCGTCGTCTTCGTCTTCGTCGTCGTCGTCGTCGTCGTCGACTTGAACGAAGGTGAAAAGAAAACGAGCAAAGGAAAATAGAGAAACGGCATCGCAATTCGCTTTTGGCCATTTTCCAAATGGCGATACCGCCTTCGCGTCTTCTCGTGAATGAGACACTCCTGGCAAAAAGAACAACAACTCGTTTAAGGTTAAGGGGGTGAGAATTTGACAAAACGAACAATTTACCGTATGGTTTAAGTTAACATCCTAAAGATTCATTGGGTAGGAGGAAAAGTATCAGATGTCGTATCGTGTTTACGGAAAAAGTAAGCAAGTAGCATTTTTCTATAATGACTAAACTCATGGAATTCAAATTGCATTTGCATGTGCAAATCTATGCACGTAACAACAATGCTGCAATCAGGAAAAAAAAAATAAGAAACGTGCTGCGAGGAATTTATACGATAATGTAATTTCCAAGAATTTTGTTATAATGATCATAGAATATCAAATTGAAAAGAAAATAACAACAACAGGTATAATAAAATTCCAAATTCCAAATGAGAAACGAATTACTTTTAGATATACCTATACACTATCCTAATAAAAGTAGAAACTAAGCAACGCGCGTACAATTCGAAGAGTAGTATATTTTCCAGAAATTCCTGTTCCTCTTTTACCTCACCCTTACTCTTTTCTCTACCTCGTCCATATATATTTGCACGACGGAGTAAATCTATTTTTAACGGGAGTGCCTTTTGCGTTACAGATCCCTTGAATTCGGACATCGCCGTGTCCAAAGGCGAGAAGTTGACTTTACGGTGTTTACCAGAGTCCACAGGAAAAATTACGTGGTACAAGGAAAACGAGGTGCTTCGTCATACATCTGTAAGGCCGCGAGTGATTAAACAAAACCTCAAATTTAAATACTTCGATTCTCGTGACGCCGGAACTTATGGTTGCCTAATCGAAAACAATAATGATTACAATAAAACGATCGAATGGAGGAACGTGACACTGCGTGTGGATGAAGCCTTACAAAACGATGGCTATCGCGAAGAGGATGGAAAAATTGGGAACGTTCTTGAAGCCCTTAGACCAAGGGATGAAATTAATGAACTTGAAATCGAAACTAGAAGTAAGTAGTTGAAAGAATATTTGAACTGTAACTTCTTTAATTGAGTAGAGCAATTCATTTGTCGAATTTAGGATGATAATAAAAAAAAAAAATGGTGTACTTTTGATGCAGTTACTTCATTTTTTGTATTTTTATTTATATCGTGACTTGAATTATCCTCGTAGATCTACCAGAGACTCGATCGTTGCACTTGGACAGTGAAAAATCAGACGCCGAATTGGACAACAATAAAGGCGAGAACGAAATGGTCGGTGAACACAACAAAACGTTACCCGATCGTCCACCATCATTCAACAATAATGACGAGATGCACAAGCCAGTCGTAAAACCGGCTGGAAATATGGTACGACTTAAGTGTCCAAGCGTCGGTAATCCTACGCCTAACATAACCTGGTTAAAGAACAACGAAGAACCCAAGAGATCGCTCGGTACAATTATTAGAACTAAATGGACGCTGAGACTGGAAGACCTCGTACCTGATGACAGTGGGAACTATACTTGCATTGTATGCAATCACCTTGGTTGCATTAATCATACATTCAAGGTCGACATTATAGGTAAGAGTGATTTATTTAGGTTTTTTAAAATTAAACACGATATTGGCATGGTAGATGAAAATTTGCCGGACGACTAAGAGATTCAAAAAAAATTGGATGAACTCGCGTATTCAGTAAAATCGTTAACCTATAGAGCGGTTCCCGCACAAGCCGTACATCAACGAAGACTTTCCGAAAAACGTGACAGCATTGGTGAACAGTAGCGTGACGTTCAGGTGTCCCATCGTGGCGGACCTTGAACCTTACATACAATGGGTCAAAGTAGCCGAGTATCCTGGCGATCAGGAAGATGCTCCAAAGGGGACCTTACTCCAGGTACAACCGCTCATCTACTTTGATGCGGTAGGCACTGGTGGAGGTTCTGGTACTGGGGTTGTGTCTTCTTTTAACGAATTCTTCTTTCTCATCAATCAAAATTATTAAACTCCTGGGATTGGAGTGGATAAGAAAAATTTCTATGATGAAAAAAAAAAAAAAAAAAAAGAAAGAAAAAAGAAGACATTTTTTATCGCACACATATCTCTTTTTGTATCTTACACGTGGTGGTGGTAGTGATGGTTTTCTTTCTCTTCTTATTTTCCTTTCACTTACACAAAAGCATACGCGCGCGCACATAAAAAGATGTTAAGGACAAGAACTCGGTCTTTTGTTAACTCTCGCTCTCTAGCTATTACTCTTACTATTTTCCTCTTCTCTCTTTATGTTTCTTAAAAGCAAGTTAAAAAAGAAGGTGGTTGGGTATTTCTTATTTTTTAACCTATAGAGACCGTGAGGCATCGACCAATCCTGACACGACCCCCACGAAATACGACAGTCGTCGTAGGAAGCAACGCTAGTATGACTTGTGAGGTCTTATCGGCTGCCCATCGTCATCTTGAATGGTACCACGGTTACCATACGTCTTTCGATACAGTCAACAAAACAAATCAAACTGTCAGGGTGGAGGTTAAGGTGGGCACGCTGCAGTTGTTTGAACAATTAACCCAAAATTGCATGTTCCCACTAACTGTCTTACTCCTTCGTTATGCACGCTCATTATTTTCGGTAGATCTATTATTTCCAACACAAGCCTCGCATGTAGTATAATTGTCATGAGATAATCAATTGTTAAATGTTATTGGGGTTGAACTTTGAAGAATAAAATGAACTTCAAAATGAACTATTTTCTTTTAATCTAGGCTGGGATAGTTGAAAATCCAGAAGAACTGAAGCTTTACAACGTAACTGAAAAGGACGAAGGATGGTACACTTGTATAGCACAGAACACATTAGGGGAAACCTTCAGCAGTGCTTACCTTCGTGTCGTCGAAAGTGAGTATCGAGGGGATATTTATCACTTATGTTAGTTAGCCAACAATGTCTCTATAAGACACTTCAGCTAAACGAGTCTTTAAATCTCTTGCGGCTTCGTCGTGTCCCATTTACCATTTATGCGCACGTAATTACATATCTACGTGTCTAACGCGTCAACAGTCGTATGTGCGTATGTCCTCTCAGTAGTGATGCTCTTTAAAAAGCAAACACTCTCAAATTACCTTCATGAGTATGACGAAAGTTCCAGTTTTATTTCTTTCTTTTACAAACGACGAATTTTTTCTAAAGGATTTCGAAGCGATGATTTTATTACTTGAACATTTTCAAGGAGGACATAATCGTCTCTATTAAAGCAAACCCCCCCCCCCCAATTATCAAATTAACTCGGATATATAAAAAAACGAACCGTCAAATCGCACGTTGCTTTTTTAAATATAATTTATTCAACTGGAATTGTGCGAGAACCTCAAAAAATGATGTTTTAGGTAAGCTTATCTATTCACTAAAAGAGGTCTTGAAATTTTATTTAAAAAAAAAAGCACTTTCAGGACCCTAGCCAAACTCGACAAAAAATGATTTACCGAACCAAACCCAATATTTTTATGTTCTCGCACAGTTCGGCATAAAACCTATCATTTTTGCTAGCAATAATGATTTTGGAAGTTTCATTTTTCTCTTATTTTTCTTCCTATTTTATTTCATGCTCCTTCTCTTGATCTCTTTCTATATTTCTGTCTCTCGGTTTCTGTTTTTTTATTTTTATTATTTTTTTTTTTTTTTGAGTGTAAAATAACGTATTATATGAGCTTGAATCACGCTTAACAATATCGTACGAGGATAAAGGCGTTAGTATTATTTTGATCGACTGCTGTTTAATCGCAGATAAAGAAATATCGCGCGAATCGTTGGAGGGCGTTAATGAAAATCAGGATGGAGGTGCGCGAAAATATAATGTGACCTTAGAGGAAAAGTCCCTAAACGTGAAGATGGTAAGTAAAATTATTTCAACAACATTAATTCAACGATTTCAAAAATCGTTGAAATCATTTTTCTAAATTAAATAATCCTCATACTTACGAAATAAATTGGACAATATGAAACTAATTAAGTGAAAGATTATTAACTAGACATCATTCTTTTGTATGAGAGAAGATGGAAAGGAAAGAAAAGGCATCGAACAAATACAAGGACTTCAAATCGCAGATGAAAGAGAAGACGATGAAAAAAATGAAACAGGAAGATCAGTATATGAAGAATTTGAACGAAAAGGAAATAACCAAATTGAAACCATGTGAGCGAGAAAAATCATTGAAAGAAAAAGAAAAGAAGAAAGAAAAGGGGGAGGTGGATGAGGAGTATCAATTTTACAAGAACTTTATCATAGCGAAGTTACGTAAGATGAATCCAAGGCAACGTCTTTACGCGGAAAATCTGATAAATCGTGTTCTCTATGAGGGTTCCGTAGAAAGATTGTCGCTGTCCACAACGATTACCCTTCAACCGTACGATTACTATAATCACCAACAACTTCAAGGAGCTGGGGGGATCGTAAATACCATCAAGGAAGAAAAACATCCAACTCTTACTACCTTTGATCTAATTTAGTTTCCTTATATGTATGTACATAGGTAGACTTCTTATATAGATAAAGGATTGAAAAGCAAACTTAAGATATATATTCGCGAGCAAGTATTTAACAATGTAACTATTTCTTTTCGCTCCAAATAAAGATGTATTATGCTTAACGCTCAAACAGCAGCATTACCTTTCATCTTATTTCACAAAACCAACCAATAACCAATCACCAATTACTGGTATTACCAATTTGTCGTTGTTATTTTAATTAGAAATAAAATAAGATAAATTGAAAACACATAGGTAGAAAGAATATTATCTTCGTAAGAAAATGATAGGATATGCAAAACTGTTAGGATGTTAGGTGAAAGTCAAGGAGGCAAAATTAAAAGACTGTGTAACGTGTTATTAGCGTTGGAGGAGAACCGTGTACCGCTAGCGGCAAGACCACAAATCCTGGTGAACGTTTTGGCTGCTGTCTTGTGCGTTTTCTTCGCCGTTGGAGTCATCGTCGTAATCTACATATTTCATCGTTTGAAACGCGAGAAGATGAAGAAGCTATTGGCTATTGAAACTGCACGTGCTGCTGTGGTCACCCAATGGACGAAAAAGGTTATCGTGGAGAAGACCAAACAGGTTAATGCACAGAACGTTCAGGAACCACTTTTGATGCCTGTTGTCAAGATTGAAAAACAAAAATCGACAATTACGTCGGATGATAGCAACGGTGGTAGTATTTCGGAATACGAATTACCGTTGGATAGCGCTTGGGAACTTCCTAGGGAACAATTGAAATTGGATAATACTCTTGGAGAAGGTGCTTTTGGAAAAGTCATCAGAGCACAAACCAATACTGGAAGACCGGGTATACCTAGCGTCGTTGCTGTTAAAATGTTAAAAGGTAAGTACTCCTGTAAGTCTTGTTATTAGTGGTAATAGTACTAACAATGTAATTGATTTCTTTTTTAATCTTTGATTAGAGAGTCACACGGATGCCGAGATGATGGATCTCGTATCGGAAATGGAAATGATGAAGATGATAGGCAAACACGTTAACATAATAAACCTATTGGGTGCCTGTACACAAGGCGGACCACTTTACGTGATCGTCGAATTTGCACCTAACGGTAATCTTCGAGATTTCCTTCGCATTCATCGACCTAGCGCAACCCCTGCTTTTCAATCAACAATCGGTCAGGAAGAAAAGGAACGCAAGACTCTAACCCAAAAGGATTTGGTATCGTTTGCTTATCAAGTGGCACGTGGAATGGAATATCTTGCAAGTAGAAGATGTATTCATAGAGACCTGGCAGCACGAAATGTACTCGTTAGCGACGAATATATCCTCAAGATCGCGGACTTTGGTCTTGCCAGGGATATACACTGTCACGATTACTATAGAAAAACAACGGATGGAAGGTTGCCTGTTAAATGGATGGCACCGGAGGCTCTTTTTCATCGTGTCTACACCACTCAGTCCGACGTGTAAGTCTGACGGACATTATTTTCCTTTCCTTTCTTCTTCCTACCATTCCTTCTACGACGTTTAGAATAAACGATGTTTTTCAGATGGTCGTACGGAGTTCTGTTGTGGGAAATAATGACACTGGGTGGCACACCATATCCATCCGTACCCTCGGTCGAGAAACTTTTTCAATTGCTGAGGACGGGACACAGGATGGAAAAGCCACCTTGTTGCTCGATCGAAATGTAAGTTTCATAATATTCAATGATCCCTATATGTTTATTACTGATTTAATCATAAATTTGTTCTCTTTATTGTCGCGATATTCATTTGATTTAATTATTATCATAGATATATGCTTATGAGAGACTGTTGGAGTTATCAACCAACGGAGAGACCAACATTTGGTGAATTGGTTGAAGATCTCGATAGGATATTAACGATAACTGCTAACGAGGTAATTCAAATATCAATTAAACAACTAACAACACAGGAATTACACGAACTTTTAATGAAAATATTGTTGAAATATTTTTCAGGAATATTTAGATCTCGGTCTACCCCAATTGGACACCCCACCGTCCAGTCAGGAATCAAGCGACGATGCCGAGGACGAAGAAACCGGCGAACAATTTCCGTACCTGTTATAAAACTTTCAGTAAAAAAAAAAAAAAAAAGAAAAGCTGATATTTACAAAAAGAAAAAAGAAAGCCGCGCTATGAAAGCTGCGTTTTATCAGGGCCAAGGATTATCTCAATCCTTGCCTTTTGAATAAGCCAAAAAAAAAAGAAAAGAAAAAGCAAATTCAATCATTGCGAGAGCGTAAACGACTGATATTCAACACAAGCACGCCAAATAATGCAAATCAGTATTTACCTATAGTAGAAAGAAAGAAAGAGAAGGTGTATAAGAAATTTTCTAGACTTAAACCAATCTCGAAACGGTGGGAATGTGGACAGGTAGGAAGGAGAAGGGTTTACAATCGTAAATTTCTTCCGTAGGGTGAGTCGAGAGCCTATGGATTCATTTTTCTACGTCTTATTGTTTCGTGCCATGAATGCGTGCCTTGTTAAAAACAGAAAAAAAAAAATAATAATTAAAAAAAAAACAAAAAAAGGCTTCCGACGATCGCCCTAAATTCACGATGATTGTCCAACGAGAAAGAGAAAAAGAGAAATAAAAAATAGTGAGAAGAAAAAGGAGAGTATAATGAGCAGAACATCTTGCACGATGTTAGAAATATTGTGTGACACTCTCTAGGTGCATGATATTGTGTTTATAGCTAGTCAATTGTTTTTTTTTTTTTTTCGTAATTTGTACGTCTTTTTTTGTAACATAATAGTTGTTATATAAATCTGTTAAGAGAATTGTATCTCTTATCCCAAACCTAAACTCGATGTCAAACGTATGAACATTTGTCGGCACAAATGGATGATCAACAGGAACAAGAATTAAGTTTGTTTCGAATGAAATTACGACATTGTCGAGTCTATGGGGAAAAAAAGAGAGAAAAAAACAAGACAATTTGGTGCATGTAAGAAAAATAATTGATGCACACGACACTGTGTAAGTATATTATACAATTAACTTTAGTTTCTTTTTTTTTTATATACATATATATATATAATTTATTCCTCTTACATTACCGTGTGTTTTTTTTTCTAAAACACATCTTACGTAGGCTAGTAAACCCTTATTATCTGATATCGATGTGTTTGTACACACTTATGTGAGCTTGGTTTGGAATAAACCGAAAAAGGAAATGCATCGAAAATAATTGAAACTAAAAATCGCAATAAGTTTGTATAGTTGAATACGTCCGCGATTTTTCATTCACAACATTGTACATAGTAACGAATCCTTTATTTAATGGCTAACTTGTTCAAGAATTAGCCTAAGGTAATACATTATAGAGAGCATTTACCTAAAGGGATATAGGGCGTACTGTATATTCTGTGTAAAGGAATTAATCATTGTAAACGTGAGTTTCATATGCAATAAATGAAATCTTTTATCGCACAGATTTCCCTTTTTTGCTATTGAATATGTGTATGTGTCTCTGTCCATAAAATTATTTCTTATTCAGTATTGTATTAATTATTTATTTTAGTAGAAATTTATATGAAATATATTATATATTAATTTGTCCAGAATGTTAAAAATTGATGATGAAATTTGACAAAAGAACAGTTCAATGAATTCTCATTAAAATCGAAATTTTCATTGTTCTTTAATATTTTTAATTAGAAATATTTGAATTATGGATTCCTTCGTTGTAAAGTTAGACGTGTACGTTTATGTAAATTAATTTAATTTAAGAATTTTTATATTACTGTTTAGATTAACAGTTAGTATAGATAGTACTTACATGAACAAAATTTCATATTGTATTTATATCATTTGTATTTCCTAACACATTTCGATCTCGATGCAATACATAAATAATTATAAGAATAATGTGTGAATATGATAATATAAATAAAATCTTTTTAAAAATAAAATAATAAATTAAAAAAATAAAAAGAAAAACAAATAAAAATTACCATTGTGAAGATAATCACTTACTACTTCTGCATAACAAGCACCAGATGGCTCTTCATCAGCTTTTTAATTTTACTTTCAGATGATCCTAAAAAAATTAATATACTATTTACTATAAAAGAATTTTATAACTCATTAGATTAAATAACATAATACAAAACTGAAATATTTCATAAAATGAACGTTTAATAAATTACTATAAAATAAAAATTGAAAATTAATTGAATTCGTGAAAGAAATTCTTTTAAAAATTCATAGTCAAGGTTGCAAATCATTTTATTATTTTTATTTCTTTCTTGGCTTATATTTAGTTATTTAATTATAATATTAATGCAATATTACCGTAATAATTAATTATTATTTAAAAAAAGAATGAAACAATTATCTATTATTGAAGACAACTGCATTGATTTACAAGGAACACCGTACGCGACACACTTTGCATATTAACGTTTGGCGCCAGCCATATTAAACATGGCAGTATTCAAACTGATAAACTACAACGTAATACAAAAAAGTTTTTTATTTTATTTTTTGAGTATTAATATATTTATTATTCATATTAAATTTTACAGTATATTTAAATATTTTATTATTATATTAATAAGTATTTCAATTTATGCTTTATAAAATCTCTGTAATTAATTAAATCTTAAATATTGAATAATTTAAATAATGTTATTTTGATTACTTTTTTAGTTACTTTTGTCGTATGCAGTAACCGCGTGGTTACTGAGAAAAATCGTATGCGCAAACTCACGAGTGGCGCCTGTGTCTATTCGTTTTGTTGTCATCTGCCACATTCATACTAAGTTGTTTTTCATCCGATTTTCATTGGAATTTTTAGTTTTAACCTATAAAGTATAATTTTCTTTTAACAAAAACATAATGCAATCAGTGATGAGATTTAATATAAACGAGTTTTAACAATAAGAAAACGAAATCAGTGTCCTTCATAAGTTACAAATTGAGGTTAACTTATTAGATATTACTAAGTAATGTAAGTAAATGCAAGTCCATTTTTTTTTAAATTAATTATTCAATACATCCAGTACTATTACTTAAAATTATTATTATCATGTAATTACATTTAAGAATCGTATTGAATATATTTTTATTGACATTGTCGATCATATAATAAAATCATTTGAACATAGTACAAAGTATTTATAATAATTACATATTATTCATTATCATTATCTACAGGTGACAATACTGATTTAGTAAATGGTGATTATTAGTGCCATGGAAAGAAGAATAAAATTAAAAACTTTGAACAGTCATATTACTTGCAAAATATGTCGTGGTTATTTAATAGATGCTACTACAGTTACCGAATGTTTACACACATTTTGCAAGAGTTGTTTGGTCAAACACTTGGAAGAAAAACATACATGTCCAACATGTCAAATAGTTATTCATCAGTCACATCCATTACAATACATAAGTTTTGACAGAACTATGCAAGATATTGTTTACAAATTAGTTCCAGATCTCCAAGAAAGTAAGTAAAAGTACCAAATTTACAAATGGCATGAACTAACTTAATTATCAAAAATCATAAATGCATGAATTAATATACTTATTGTAATATTTATATCTATAGATGAAATCAAAAGAGAAAGAGAATTTTATAGAGCAAGAGGTTTACCTTGTCCAAAGGATATTTTACCAAATGCTGCTGAAGTAGAAGAAGAAAAAGCAACTGCAGATGCCCATGCAGAATCTGATTATCACAGAGCTGACGAACAGGTATGTCATTATTGATATTATTATTTTTTTTTAAGTATAATAATTATACACTATTATAATATTTATATAATATTATATATATATATATATATAAAGGTAAACGTATGTCTGGAATGTATAAATGCAAGTCTGAAGACACTAAAACGAAGATTCATCAGATGTTCTGCACAGGCTACAATTACACATCTTAAAAAATTCATTGCCAAAAAGGTTCTTAGTGGTATGGAGAAATACAGAGACGTATGTATACATTTCGTACATATTTAATAAATTAACCCCTTGCATTATAATTTCATTAATCATGTATTAATTTATTCTTTTCTTTTTTCTTTGCAGATTGATATTTTGTGCAATGATGAGTTATTAGGTAAGGATCATACTTTAAAGTTTGTATATGTGACAAGATGGAGGTTCCGGGACCCACCCTTAAGATTACAATATCGACCACGAATAGATATTTAAAAGTATGTTTTTTATATAGAAAAGTTACGAAAAATTCGTTATGAATCAAGTATATATATATATAAATATATATATATATTGTTTTATCAATTCGTTGATGCATCATTCATTGCAATATTTATGGATTGTGTTCTTTGCAGACAATCTTATTTATAGTTAAACTCTGTTGATGCTCAACGATAATGGTACAATTCTTTATCGCTTTAAGATCTCTATTCAATGAATACCAATTGCATTTGTCAATAGTATACCTTATATTGAATTTTTCTATTAGATGTATTTCGAATTAGTTTTTACGTTTATAATTTCAACATTATTGAAAATACCAATGTTTCGAGGAAGCGTATTTATATTACAAATTATATAACCCTACATTATTGTTAAATGTAACGCAATAACAATTATTGCAAATATTATTTGAACCTATAAAATAAGTTGTTTTTTTTTTACAACTTTGAAAATCAATAACTCCACAAAATTATATTATTATTGATATAATGTATTTTACCTGCTGTTTGTTATTGATCAATTAATCAACGACATTATTGCGTTACATTTAATTAGAATTTAGGGTTATACAAAAAGCGGCATTAATTGAAAAATTTCATTAGCATAATGTGATTTTATATTTTCTTATTGACTGAGGTTGTTTGTAATTTAATCTTAATCATTCGTCATTTGTGTTTATATTCTCTTTCTACTGCGATTATTTATTTAGTTAAATTATTAAGTGTAAGCTTCTTTTTCTTTAATTTTATTTTTTTTGTTTGTTTTGTATAGTTATCGTCCTATTATAATTATTACCCGAGCCTACCATTTTCACGCATCAAAATCATAATTTGAAAATTTTATTTGTAATTACATTAATATCATTGTCAGACAGTCTTTTTTCTCAATCTTACAAATACTATCTTATATCTTATGATGACTGTCATTAATCTTTCTATACATGTAATTAATAGAGTTTCATTTGATTATAATTTTTACATAGATCCAATTCAATACTACAGATAAAATATTCTGACTGTAAATAAAATATTTTTGACAAAATTCTATATACATTGCGCGCATAGATGCAGCTTTGTATGAAGCAAACAAAAGTATACAAATTAGGATCTAATATGCGTTTTAGATCCTCTTAACTTTCTATTATGCTTTATGCAATGCAAATATTGTCGAATTAAAACACATATTTCTCTCGATATCAAAATAAAAACTCACACTGATAATCTTATTGTAGAATGAAATATTTTCAAAAAAAAAAAAAAAATCTTTATCTCGAGTGAAATATCGTGTTAAGAACGACTTATATCTAATAGTAGATCAAATCATTTTGATGAAATGAAAGAAAAGATTTAAAAAAAAAAAAAAAGAAAAAATACTAAAAACGTGTGATTGTATATACAAATATTAGAATGTTGAGAAGTGTATTTTGCAAAGTAGCAGCAGCTGCGCTTAAAAGCGTTAGGGGCTTGTATATTGTACACTGTGTGTGTATATCTATAAATTATTAAATAAATATGTTTTGTACAGTACTGTACCAATGATCGCTGATATATTTTCAACATCCGTTGTTGGTAGAATAAAGGGGAAAAAAATTGAAATCTGTTTCTAATTTTTGAAAAATCATATCATGCACAAGAATCTAACAAGGAGACGGTGCGATAGTCGCCCATCAGATTTTTTTCAAATTTGGCACATTTGTAATAGTTCATAAATAGATTCATTGTGCTTTGTAAACTTTGTGCAAATATCCAGCCATTTGCACCGTCTCCTTGTTAGTTATTACAAATTAAAAAAAAAACAAATGGCAAATACATTACATTGAGAAATTCTATTCTTGTACAAAATCTTTTATCAAATTTTGTACCTGGTAATGAAAGATATTATATAACAAATATTATTATAAACAATAATTTTGTTTGAGGTAGAAGTAAATATTACAATACTGTTAAGATACATTTATTTTTATCATATAAAAAATGATTTACGTTTTGCATTAATTTTTAATCATGTAATACAAATATATATTGCGAAATCTGTATTTTATTATCGACAGGTAAAATATATGTCGCCATCTAGTGGTAAAAACTATTATTTCATCTTACCGACTGGGAAAATATGTGCCGGGAAAAATAAAATAAATTTTATTTTATTTAAATTTCCCGCGGAATGGCGTCATGATGACGTAATAAGGGGTTGAGCGTAAGGGGTGGCTAAAAATAATAATTTACTACAACCCCTGGGATTTTTTATTCCTATCTTAGGAAATATTAATAATTTTCTTGCAAAGAAATGAAGATTTTTAAAAACACATACAGTTGCATTTATATTATTTAATGAATATTTTAAATTATATAAATAAAATGTATATGCTGCTGTTTAAATTAGCATAAGGATATAATATTAAATATGAAATGAACTCGCTGTCAATTTGCGTAAAACCTATTAAATTTAATCGTGTTAATCATTCGTGAAATTTAAGGATCTCGTCTTACAATTAGTTTTATTAATAAAAAACAATATTTCAGAGAATTAGAATTACTCTAATTATCTTCTCGAAGTAGAAAAAGAAATGAACAAAATATTAACTTTGACAAGACATTAAAATAATGAAAACGTAACATAAATCTTTAATCATTTCGCAAATAAAAGAAACAAATATATAATTAAATATCGTAATTCTTAATATTTCTTTGTTTGTTTGTTTTTTTTTTTTTTTTATTATTTTTAATAATAATTAACTTTCCTTATTAATTATTAACTTATAATCTATTATGATGTAATTCTTAAAAATTAATTAAAAATTTAATAATAATAATAATAGTAAACATAATAGTAATAATATTGAATATATAAACAAATTGGTATGTGGTATATAAATATATACATACATAGAAAGACGGGTTAGTCTTTTTTATTTAAGTAAAAATTCGAATTTGTTTCTTTTATTGAAAAAAGGAATACGTATATATATATATCTATATATATATATATATGTGTGTGTTTTTCCTCATCGCGTGTTCACACATTAACGCAGTGAATCAATTCTCACGCGCGCAACCGTCCCATGAAACACAGGATTGTTCACCTTGCATGTGTGTGTGTTTAAATTTTCGAACTTGCTTTAATTTTGTCATACATTTGACAAAAACATCCGATTATTAACAGCGATTTAATCGTCCATTAATTTTCGCGATATGGCAAGAACGTATATTTCATTTAAGTGTTGATATTATTACGATATACCGTTCATTAGTGTTAGAATCACTTTAGGTACGTGACAGTCTTGGCAGAAAAATTCATTTCTACTATTATTATACTTAAATTATATATCTATATATAATATATATATATACATACACACACGCGTACATACACATGTTAATAATAACATACATATGCAATTAGTAACCACATACGTAAATTACATACTGCAAGCAAACATACATACATACATACATACAATGTACACTTTTCATGTCACATTGTTACACAAATAATCGTCGCTTTTACCACTCGAATCAAATCATTAGCTAAATTATTTTATATTACTCTTCTTCTTCTTTCGATTTTTTTTTTTTTTTATATATATCAACAACATATCTCTTTCCTCTCATTCGCACTTTTTTTTTGTGTTCATTTTTTGTTTATTTCACTCGTTCGCTCTCTCTTTCTCTCTCACTCATTTCTAATTATCTATCTATCTACTTGCCTAACTAACTAAGTAACTAACTAACTAACTAACTAACTAACTAACTAACTAACTATCTATCTATCTATATAACTATATATCTAATTAACTATTTGTTCTACTTCTTCATCTAAATCGTCTATCCGTATTCTTGAAACCGTCTTAAATATAAATATCATTACATTCATGTATCTTGTTTGAAAATACAAAGTTTAACTTAGCGTCAATAAGATGATGATTTTAACAATAATGATAATGATGATAGTTATAATGACTGAGACAATGACGGCAAAGATGACGATGTCCTCTAATTATCATTTAATTATTAACGTTGTTCAATCGCATTATATATTATTTATCATATAAACAACGCTTTTCTTTTTTTTTTTTTTTACAACATACACGTATTATTCGCACGCATTTTCAAACGTGTCAATTATTTTTCTTTTTTTTGTTCTGGCAGTATTTTTTTTTTTTTTCATACATTATATGTATAATTATATAAATCATGCTTCTTTCCTTCCTTTAGATTTTTCGTAATACTAAAAACTAACGAACAAATCAATTAGCAGCAATAACAGCAGCTGTCGCTGAGGATGAGGATTTCTTCTTAAGAACGATGTCCTTTAGGTTGAGATTGACCTTCTCCTTTCGTGGGGGTGGTACAGATTGAAGACAGAACCTCTTGAATGCTTCTAATTCACGTTCAGCATCATCCATCTCCCCATCCTCAAGGTCTATATCTTTAGGTGTGAATACGCTCTCTGCAAAAAATACGCTCTGAATACTAGACGTCGAATGTCCAATAACTGAATAATAACTTGACATCAAATATTATCCTTTATTTCATTTATCGTAACACTTGCTGATTGGATTTTTGGATTATCTTATATATCTTTTATATATCTTTTAATATAAATTCCACAAATTACATTTATATATTATTTCATTTATTATCCTCATTCCAATATCTAAACAACAAGTATCCGATAAACGTCCGGTTTCGATAAATTATGAAAAAGAGAGAGCGACATTGAAAAAAATTAATTTTAAAGAAAAAAAAAAAAAAGAAAAAATAATCTTAAGAATATATATATATATATATATATATATGTAAATATAATATAATAATAAATATATTTATATGTATATATAAATATAAAGCTATTTATATTTTTATATTCATATTTATATATGCCTATATATATATATATATTATATTTTTTTTCTTTTTTTTTCTATATGTTTTATATAATTTCTAATATTATTTACTGAGCTATAAAAATATCACAAGGAGATGCTTAATTCAGTGGAAGATTTGTGCCATAATAATGGACGGAGTTTAAATATATATACATATATATA